AAGAAAGATGGAAACTTACCCTAAAAATACACAAAAATTTACTCAAAATGAATTAAAAACTTAAATGTAAGACCTAAAACTCCTAAAAGAAAATATAGAGGAAAAGCTTCAGAGACATTGGATTTGGTAATGATCGCTTGGATATGACCCCAAAAGCTCAGGCAACAAAAGAAAATATTGATAAACTGGACTACATCAAAAACTAAAACTTCTGTGCACCACAGGGCACAATCAGTAGAATTGAAAAGGCAACCCTGGAATATGAGAAAATATTTGCAAATCACCAAATCTCATAAGGAATTAATACTCAGAATATTTAAGAAACTCCTACAATAGGAAAACAAAATTCTTAAATTAGCAAAGGTCTTCTTGAATAGGCACCTCTCAAAAGCCAATATACCAATGTCTAACCAGAATATAAAGAGATGCTCAACATAAATAATTAGGTAAATGCAAATAAACCAATACCACCTCACATCCCTTAGGATGACTAATGCCAGAAAAACAAAGTAGTGCTGACAAAGATGTGGGGAAACTGGAATTCTTGTGCACTGTGAAAATATTAAACAGTACAACTTCTATAGGAAGCAGTATCACAACATCCAAGGGAGAGGTGAAAGCAACCCAAGTGTCCATCAACAGACGAATAGATAAGCAACATATGGTACATACAATGAAACATCACTCAGCCTTTAACAGAAACAGACACATGCTACATGCATGAATCTTGTGGATATCATGCTAAGTGAAATAAGCCAGTCACAAAAAGACAAATACAGTTGACCCTTGAAAGTGGGCTTGCACTGTGTGGGGTCCAATTATACAGTTTTTTGCTTTTGTTTTAAATATGTACTCATCAGTACTGGTCTTTAACATTTTCTTTCCCCTAACTTACCCTATTGTAATACAGTATGCAATGCATATAACATACAAAATGTGTTGACTGTTATCAGTAACACTTGCTGTCAACCACAGGCTATTAGGAGTCAAAAACAGGGGTCAGTGTCCCTAAACCCAGTGTCGTTCAAGGGTCAACTGTCCTGTGGGATTCCACTTAATATGAGGTATCTCTAGAGCAGATGAATTCATAGAAAAAGGAGAATGGAGGCTGCCAAAGGCTGGGAGGAGGGAAAATGAGGAATTACTGTTTAATGGGTATAGAGTTTCAGTTCTACAGGATGAAAATGTTCCGGAGATTGGCTGCACAGGATTGGCATGTGAATATACCTAGCATTACCAGACTACAGGCTCGAAAATGGCTAAGACTGTAAATTTGACATTATATGTCTTTACCACAATTTTAAATTTAGGGAAAATATTCAGGGACTTAAAAATTTACTGAATACAAGTCACCTTTGTGCTTCCAGTTCATATTCAGCACAGCAGTGTGTTCAAGTATAATCTACTTTCTTTTGAAAAGATGTCTGTAGATCAATAAATACCAGGCTGTGGTTAATACATTTGTTGACAGCCTATGGGAAAACAAAAACCCAAATGGGAATCAAGTTTTCATTTCTTGACCCACCAACGTTAAAAGGAAGCCTGTATTTTCTACCACCTAAGTACCAAATGGATACTGCTTGGGTAAAGAAGAAAAAAGTACGGTACTTATACAACTCTACCCTAATTTTCTGTTAAAGAATAAAAAGGTTTCAGTGACAAAGAATAAAATTGGTTATTCTCCCTAAAATTCATTCTATATTTGACCTTGTCTAAAAGCCACCATTTTTCAATGAGTCAATACTTGGCACTGAAGAGCCTCAAAAAAATGAAACATACATTGTATCTCATTTCAGGGTACTGGTCAAGGATTATCTTCACAGAGAAGACAGGACACAGTAGTAGTAGGTCAGGTACCACTCTGGTCCTGGAACAATCTAGTCAGCACTAGCACGTTGAGTAGTAGGGGCCTGGAATCAGTCCAGTGACAAAAATGATGAATGACAGGCCCGAGTAACACTGAGCACCTAAACCTAAAGGAACCTAACTTCAACAAGAGGGTGGGGGACAACGCTGAAAACAATGACAGAAAACAGAACAATCTGGGACAAATGAAAAATAAACCAATCTACATATAAAACTTTAATCAGACTTTTAAAACTTTAGATGTGCTCTAACTTTAGATATTAAAGCTAGTTCAGATTTCCAGTGGCTCTCAAAAGGTCAGCACTATTTTTGAAACTGGTGAACACATGTGAAAAAACATATACACACAAACACATATATGTATCAAATTTAGCTGCAATAAGCAATGAGGTGCTATTGTACTAGGAGCTACACATTGTTCCCATGATTGTAGAAATATCAGCACTGATTATCAGAATTAAATATTTATAAGGACTTCTTTGTGTGTGTTTTGTTTTTGGGGGGTTTTTTTTGCAAAAAATTTTTAGTAGGATATCCAAAGTGTCTGGGGGGCGGGGGGGAAAGTGCTTGAGGAAAACATTCACCAAGAATCTTTCTTTGTTCTCAGATGCTCTGACCTGACTGAGACCATACAAATTCTGTAAGTATCCTAGCTAACATCTCAAATACGTTTTATTTGTAAGTATGCTAATTTAGCAGAGGCAATATAGGTACTAAAAATACTTTTGCTTATGGAAAAATCACATATGTACTTATGTATGTGGGGCGAGCAGGGGATCCATATACACATATACACACACACACACACACACACACACGTGCCCACATTTAGATACTTAACAAAATTATTTAGAAACTTAAAAGGCTTTCAGATGCTCTATAAAATCGATATGCTTCCACATAGCTCACCTTTTCTCATTTCCTTCAATTATTGTGATTGTTTGTAAGTTCTGTGGGCGCCACAGATCCCAGTATAGAGCATGATCATAGTGAAGTGTTTACGCAAAAGCATGGAGGTTACAGAATAAAGGTACTCCACAGGAAACAGGCAGATAGAAAGTGCTTTTACAGTAAAAAGAAATACATGAACCGAATTTAGTCTCAAAACAGGAGACATCCAAAATTCTTCCCATTTATCCTTTCACTGAATTGTAAATGTATACTATCTAAATTAGTAAGAGAAAGTCTTATGATGAAAAATATCTTCTGGAAAGATGTCTTCTTCTCACTAAATACTTTACTCAATCATTTTAATTTGGACACTGTGGCTTCCTAAATTAGTTTAATGCTAGTGTCGTTTTTTATGTACCAATTCAGGACTTCAGCATTAATATTACTCCTGGCCTCCTTGCTTATTCATCAGAAGGGCTGAGAGGTATTGCCCTCCCCATTCTTCAATTAATAAATCCTAAAATGCAAAAGGCCTCCTAATCTCCAGGCTCTTCTCTTGTTCAAAGTGGTAACAGCACAGCAGGACCACCTTCCACCTCAAACTTTCTGTAAGTTTTATCAGCAAGAACTTAAAAGACTTCCAGTGGAAGATGGCAACTGGGAAAAGGAAAATACAGGTGTAAATGACAAATGTCCTCAGCCTCTCCACAATAATCAGTTTTTCTAAGAAAGCATCCTAAGAAATATTTTTAATTAGCTTGTAGGAAGTGAATGTGTCTATCTGCCTTTCTTACGTATGAAATGTGATGCAGAGAAATAGGAAATCATTAGTCCTGCCATATATTGACAACCTGACAACCAAAAAAGGACCCTAACCCCAACTAATGTACCAAATAATGACACATTTCAAATTTTTTGAGCCTAAAGAAATGTAGATCAAAACCATAATCAATGAAAGACTATAGTACTACGTATGATGAAGGACTATGAAAGGGAAAAAATCCATTATTTTACAGAAGCAAACTGAAAAATTCATGGCAAATTTGCCTAAATTACTGACTTGCAAAATAAAGTAACACAGAGGGGGGAGACAAAAAGATTAATGTGCCAAGTTTACCTAATTAAACAATGGAAGTACAATTAGATAAAAACAGAAACAAAGTGACTCTGAATTGTAACTACTTTAAATGTTCTATGGTCAAATTTCCCCTAAGAAGTACACACATTTCTAAACCAAAGGAACAAAGGAACAATTCAATTTCTTTTTATATGAATCAACTACAAGTTGTACTAAGGAGATTACTCCCCACTGAAATTTGTGAAACTCATTAAAACAGTGGCTCGTGAAACTTGCAAAAAGAATAAAATGTATACCTAAATGTATCATTGTGATGAGTGCTTCACACTACAGCATAAAAATTAAACTTTTGGCTTAACTGTCTTCTATGTGTAACATTACACAAACATCTTTTATTTTCCAGGCCTGCAGTCTCAGGAAGTTGTAACAGACTACCTTACCCTTTCTTCCCCAGTGAACCACCATGTGATTTAAAGCTTTTTTGTCTCACCTTCAAACAGATAAAAGTAAGTGCAGTGGATGGAGGAGGGGGAAAGGTGGGAGGTAAAGGAGTAAGGAACAGCCTCTTCCAAGGTTTTAGAAGTAAATAAAACAAACCGGACCTGACATTTAATTCAGGAACAAATTCAGAATTCCTGCTACACAGTTACATGTTGTGTAAGCTTCAAAAAAGCTGAGACATTCAGTTATTTGGCCAGTTACTGCACTCCAATGAAAGCCTCGCCTTACAATATGGTTACGTTAAATTAAACCCTGATACAACAAACAGAAGGATTTCCTCTAACATTTTTACTAATATAGAAATGAAGACTACTATTTAACTAGTAAAGTACTGCAGACGAACTGCCTATAAATAATCAGAAATTTGAGTGTGGTGAGTTTTACCCTTTTGTGTGACGAGTGCTAGGTATTAAAACCAAATTCATGTCAACATTATAGCAAAGAACTCAGTTTCTAATTCTGAATACAAGTACATTTTAAGAAGGAAAAAGGGCCATAAAACCATATACTGTATGGTCAGAGTTTCACTTTCATGTTTTGTGCATGTCTTACTTTACTCTGAAATGTTTTATACTTGTATTTCATGTTATATAGTTTTTGGACTGGACTGGGTTTTTCCACAAAAAGAAAAATCAACTTTTTTCCACCTTAATATTCAACCTACCTGCCCATAGTTGTCTATGCCAGTTACTAATCTATTTAAATTTAACAAATCAAAAGCTGTCCTTAGGGATTGGCCAAGAGTCGTAAGTCCTTCTGCCTGCAGGTTTTTCAGTTCATTCATAAACGTTGCATGGTTTTCTTTCCATCCGGCCTAAAAAGAAAAACGTAAGATTTTCCCCCTCATTTTAAAGCCATGTATACACGGACAACCTTTACAATCCGTGGTTCCTCAAGGGGCTGCTTCACTTCCCACTATGGTGTGATCAACCTGTCAATCAATACCTTACCACCGCTTAAGAAACTCTTCCAAAGGGGGCCAAGAATAAACCTGCAGCTTTAGACAGCCTAACTGCTCGATAACTTCCCTGGGAAACTGACTTCCTGACCTAATACCCAAAAGGTGGGGATGCAAAGTGCTCGTGGAAAACAGACGTGAGCAGGACTTCCGAAGTTAACCGACAGCTGCCCTGCCGACCACGGCCTCTCGGGGAGAACCTGAAGCCCAAGCCCCACAGCCCCCGGGCCCGGCCGCCGGCTCGCCAGCCTCGGGCCGATTCCCCTTTAACGCCAGCCCAGCCCGGGCTCGGCTCGGCTGGTGGCGGCCGGGCCCGCTGTCACTCGGGCTAACTTGAATAAATATCCCCCACAGTTCATTGCTGCCGCTCCCGCCGCGGAGGGGAAATGTCGGCCATGTTGATCGCAGCGCCGCCGCCGCCGGGCCGGGCTGGGGAGGGGATGGCGGTGGCCCTGCGACTCCGCGCCGCGCCGGGACGCTTCGGGGCGGGGGAGGGGGTGGGAGTCCGTGGGGGAAAGGACCTCAGCGCCTAGAGCACAGCGGGTGGGGGAGGGGAGCATAATGAAGGGTGAATGGGGGGTGGGGAGGGCAGCGAGGAAGGAACAGGGAAGGGAAGGGGGAGGGCGAGGGCTGTTACCTTGATAGCATAGGGAGGCTCTTCGAAAGTGACCAGCATATACCTGTCTCCTCTGCTGGCAGGATCCCGGGCTCGGAGCTGCGGGAGAGCGGGTGGGGGACGGGAGGAAGAACAGGGCCAGCGAGAGGGAAGCAGAGGCGAGGTTACAAGGCGGAGAAGGGGCGCCCAGCGGCCCCGCAGCCCCCCCCCCAGTACCGCACACGCAGCGGCCACCCCTCCACGCCGCCACACACACACAGATCGGCTCCTACACACCGCCTGGGGCCGAAGCCCGGGCCCCGGCCGAGCACGGCTCGCAGCGCCCGCCCGCCCGCGCGGTGGGGGAGGGGGTCCCCGAGCCCAGCAGCTCCCGCAGTCAGGTCCCCGACACCTCCGCCTCGCCGCCCCCGGCCACGCTCCCTGCCACCCCTGCCGCCCGTGGGCTGCCTGGTCGGGATCGCCGCCCGGGCTCGGTCAGTCGGTACCTTCATGAAGGTCTCTACCGCGCCTTTGGCCGTGTCCAGGTAGGTGGTGCCCAGATGGCTGCGCTGGTTCATAGAGGCAGACGTGTCTATCAGGAACAGTAAGATGGGCATAGTGCTGGCCGGGGACACCGGGGCCCGAGGTGGAAGAGAAAGAGGAGATGGTAGAGGTGGAGGCGCCGGTGGCAGCGACCGCCGCTACGCGGGGCGGGGGAAGCGCGGTCCCCGAGTGGAAAACACCGTCTGGGTCTTTCCTCCGGCTGCGGGGAGTTTCTCCCCCGATAGTTGAGAGGAAACTCCCAGACCCAGTCCTCCCCGTCGTACCCCCGTCTCCGCCTCCTGCCTGCTTGCCCGCTGGGGCGGGCGCCCGGCCGTCTGTCGGTCGGTCCGTCCCCCCCGCCTCGGGGGTCCCGTCCCCGCTCCCGGTCCCTGTGTGTGTCCCAGCGGGAGACGGGCCTGGCTCCCCACCCCACCCCCGATGCAGGGAGTGGGGACCGGGGAGCTGACGAAGAGGGGAGTGGGCTAAAGGGAGATTGGCCCTGGGGCTGTTGGGAGAAGTTTCAGGGACTCCCTCCGCACCCCAGCAGTGTCACCACTTTCTCAGCCCCTCTCGCTACTGAAGCGCTTTTCTCTCTCACACTCCGGTTTTAACTCGGGCTGGGGCTGCAGAGGCACCGCCCCCTGACACGTCCTCGTGCCACGTGACGCACCGCTCCGCCATTCCATTGGCTATTCCCTAGTCTTTCATTAGCATATTCAAACAGCTCAGGGTGAGGGAGAAGCTTGTAGGCCGGCTCCGGGAACTGTTAGTGAGCACGCGTGAAGGCGGGGAGTCGGGAGCGCGCGGGAGCGAGCACGAGGGTTAGGCAGCGCGGTCGGCAGACGCGGAGGCGGGCTTCGGCAAGGGGCGGGGACAGGCCGCGGACTGGCCGCGGAAGGATCGCGGGGTGGGGGCCGTAACCGCGTAGGCGCGCGCAGGCTGCGGCTGTGAGTCTGCGCGACAGTGCTGGGGGACTCTCCTTGGCTGTTGGAGGTGACGGGGTCGGGGAAGGGAAGTGGACGCTAGCCTCACCTTCCCTTCCGAGGTCGCTGTAGTAGACCCCTTCCCCAGCGGGGCGAGTAAGGAGGCGATCAGTTACGGATCAAACACCCCGTTAGGGGAAGGAGGCACGCCCGCGGTCGGCGGAGGACTTGCCTGGGCCTTGGAGGGCCGCCCCTGCGTAGGCGGGCCGGGGGCGGGGGAAGGGAAGTGAGAGGTTGTTTATGACCCGGGACTAATCTCCGCGAGTCGCTCCGCGCCGGGGTGTGAGGACGGGGGCTGACCTTCCTCGTACTGGTCTCTCGGCCACGGGGAGCAGCCTGGGGTGAAGGCTTGACCCCAAGCCGACTGGGAACCTTCTCGTTGGAGGACCTCCCAAAAAGGGAACAAGCCACCGTTTTTCTAACGGCCCTAAAATGGCCTGGGGTTGGGGGAGGCTGGACGAACAGTTTGTGTCCCATGTTAGTCCCAGAAATAACTGGTATTACTCAAAGAAATACATTCCCAAGCCATGTTTCCTGATGGCTGTAGACTATCCGTCTCAGGTAAAAGGGTCCTTAGCAAACCAAAATGTAGTAGTGGGATTCTTTTAATGAAGAAACGAACTTCAGCTTGCTCGGGTGACCTAGAATGGGTCCCCACAACCCTACCTGTCTCTTTCCTTTCACTTTATATTGTCTCACACTTGTCCAAATACTGCACAAGGGACGGAGTCCTAAGTTAGAACAAGCCCCATCACGCCTGAAGTAATGAATCCTAGGTATCGAAGGAAAACAGTTTCCTCAAATACACTAGTTAAAAACTGAGGACCACCTGAAATACAAGTTGAATCGGGGACATAATAACCTTTAAGACTAAGTATATATGGGGCCTCCCCTACCAGCCTTGATTTAGGGGTTTTTTGTTTGTTTTTTGTTTTTTGTTTTTTGTTTTTTACTCTTTACCCAGGAATTCTTTATTATTTACCTACTGTTTTTTTTTTAATTGTCCCTATTGACAGTAACACAGGAAACATGCCTTGTGGCACTTGAAATACTGAGTTTCATCAACTTGGACTTCTTCTAATGTTTTAAGACAACCTCTAAATTTTTTGTTGTAATAGAGCTATTTCAATAATTGTATGTACCATAAAAGAATGAGATGGTTTTTTTGAAATTCGGACTACAGAATAAGATGAAATACAGGTCTTACTTACAGCCAGTGTTTGCTGAGGGTCAGTGGAGTTTAAAAAAATGATTAAAGTATGATCCATGCTTTCAAAGAGCTTACGGTTTTTCTTAATAACAAAAATTATTAGTTACTACAAGGCAGAAAGTGATTAGGTACTAAGTAACTCAGAAAAGAGAAAAGGTTATTACCCCGGAGAGATGCAAGAGATGCAAGAGCATTTCCCAGGATCGGCATGTTTCAGCTGTGCCCTAAAGCAGTACTTCTAAAACTGGGATCCTAGACCTGGAGCTGTAAATCAGAGTTCCTCAGTGCTGGAGAACTTTTGTCTTCGTTTTAACAATAAACATGTTTTAGCAGTTCTAAAGGCAAAACCAGGCCTTTGAAATGATTGTTTGCAACAGAAAGACTCGTGGAATTGGTCTTCAACCGTCCCTGTCAGACCTCTCCAAACTGGCCTGTGGACACCTGCCTGTACGAAAATGTCTTACTTAACATTTTTGGTAGAGCCAGGATTAGAATCAAAGATCAGGAGAGCCAAGTCCAATGAGCCAACCCGGAGCACAGAACCAGAGCCTATGCTTCTGATGGCACCTGAGGTCAAAGGCCAGGCCTCCAGTGCAGAAGCCCAGAAGTGCCTGGAAGGCGAGGCCCAGAGGCATAACAGCAGGGAAATCAGGACAAACGGAGCAGATCAAGAGGCAGTCAGACACCAGGAGCATTGTGTTATCCCTAGACAAAATTGTGAAATAGGCCAAGTTTATTCTTAGGGATTCTGATTGGCAGTTAAGCTACTGATTGATGGTGGCTTAAAGCAGTGGCTCTGGGCCAGGAGGTGCCCATCCACACTACCTGTAGAGCAGAAACACCATAATAAATGTCCTAAATCCCCATACCCAGAGGCAAGTGATTCAGTGGAATGAGGATGGGCCCTGGTCATCTCATTTTTTAAAAAGCTCTTCAGGTGAGTCTTACAAACAATGCTGATTAAGAACTATATACTTAAAGTATAAAAATTAGGTATGTATCTAGCATCTATTATTACCCTTAAAATTATTACGTCTCTTAAACTCCTAAAATCTGCAAACTAAAGGGAAGAAAAACTATAAATGTGGCACCAATATAGCTAACAGTGGCTTTGCATCACATGTTTGTGTAAATTACTTGAACTCAGCTATGTTCAGCAAAAAATAAGAGAAAACTAACTCGTGCTGGAGATTCCCGCTGTTCTCCTTGGGGAGCTGAGGCCTTAGAGTAAAGCACGAGACAGGGACCATGAATTGGGTCTTCACCCAAACTCTGTGATGCTACAATGTGGTTCTAAAAAGACTGTGGTTATGTGCAGGCTTATTTTTGTAAAGCATAGCTCCTAAATGCAAGCCAAGTATTTCATCAGGTTTCAGCTGAGGAAACTGAGCTCCGCAATGCTGGGGGAGAACTGGTTGGAGTCTTGCGTGCTAAGACCTGGGCCACCACAGCCTAGGGGGTCAGGGAAGATGTTCTGGGAGGGCATTGGTCAGAAGAGGTGAGTGGGAGAATACTTGCTCTTTGCTGCTGTTTTTAAAGGAGTGCCGCCCAAATGCTAGGACTCCAGTTTTCAAGGGAACGAATAAGTTTCGTGAAACCTGAAAAAATAGGGACTAAATTGTTGAAAGGGAGCTATTCTACAGAAATAAAAACCGATGAATTAGATGCATTTGAAGAAGGCAACCAAATGTGGAGGTGGCAATAGGGAAGGTAAAGAGGGCGTGGAGGGGGTAGAACTGGCAGAACGTGGTGCTATGGGTCAAGGCAGGCAGAATCCTGTCTTTTAGATTAACTCCATCTCATGTAAAGTGCATATCATCCAACTACTGGTAACGACAAATCCTAATAAGAACCAGCAGTGTTTATTCAGTCACTTTTCAAATATTCATTGAATCTCAAATATGTGCAGGAGCTGGGAATTTAGCAGTGAAGAAAACAGGAAGGAAAAGGCCTGTCCTTATGAAGTTTACATTCTAGCAGAAGAGGTGGACAAAAAGCTAAGTAAATTACATGGCATATTTACTCTAAGTGCTAAGGAGGAAAAACCAAGTGGGGAAAGGTAACTAAAGTGTTGTGAAGGGAGAAGAGTTGCAGTTTTGGAGAACGGGGAAGGCATCACTGAGAAAAATGACACGTGAGAAGAGTCCTGAAAGAAGAGAGACAGCTGTGCAGACATCTATGGAGAGACAGGTTCTATCCATTTACTGATGTTTAGTAACACACTGGTGGTTTGGAAGGCTGATACATGTTAAAGTTGTATCTGTTGATACATGTTCTTTGCTGATAGTAATCTTATTCTTAAAAAATATCAATAGTAAGTATTCTTTGAGGATAGTTAATGCATATTTGATTAGTAGCAGTATTCTGATGAGTATTCTTAGCTGATACAAGTTCTCCTTGATAGGCAGAACAGCAATTATTCATTAAATATTATTGAGAGATTAATTTATTTTAAAGTCAACAGGTATGGTTGTAGATTCTAAGGATGCGGTATTAAATGAGGTAGACTGAATACCCTCAAATCATTGCAAGATAAAACACAGGACTCAAAGTAGAATTTCAGATAATGCCTAATTTTTTAGTATATATACCAACTATTACATGGGACACACTTGCAGTAATGTTACCAAATTTAATGGGGCATCCTGTATTTTAATTTGCTGAATCTGGCAATTCTAGGCCCTTCCTGAGTTTACAACCCAACCTCCTGAAGGCAGAGAGTAGGAAATAAGATTAGCATTCAGTGGACATACTGTATAGCCTGGGAAGCCCTAAAATGGAAGGCCCTGGAGCTACGCGTGTGGAGGGAGTCTCTCTGCCAACCAGGAACACCCACCTTCATTAAGAGCAAGAAATAAACTTGTCATATTTCAGCCATGTGTGTCGGATGCATCTGTGCCGCAGTCTCTTTGTTATTCCACCTTAACCTAACTCACCGTGTCTGTCCGTGGGCCCAAACTCACGCCAGAATCAAAAGTTTTCATGTACTATACAACAACTAATTTAAAAAAATAGTAAATAAAGGCAACAGAGGTAGGCCATACCCTAAACGTGCTTGTACAATAGCCACCATTCTCACCTAACTTAAATGAGGCATCATGAGGGACATGAGATTACTATAAGAAAACTACATGTTTCCCCTAAGCAAATAACAGCGTATGTTATTTCTGGCTATTAAAACATTTTTAGTATTCTTTTAAACTTACTGAATATAAGTTATTGAGTATAAAGACAAAGTCTTGGAGGCTCTGAAAATTATGAATAAGCCATGATTTCTGACTTCAGGAAGTGTAGGGCCTAGCAGAAAAACTACAGGTGCATCATGACGGCCAACGTAGAGACAGTGCCAAAGGCTACGTATAAATCACGGATCTAACTGAAGTGAGAAATTCAGACCCGAGAAGAGAATAACTCAATGGATAAAGAAGCATCTTCGTTCAAAGCTTTATAATTTCCTAACTTTAAGTACATTTAAAATATTTGTTTAAAAATTTTCAAAAATGTAAAAATAACAAAAACAAAAATTAATCTTTCTACCCAGATAGCCACTGATTAACATCTATGTTAAATAAAATTGGGCTCACTTAATATATTCTTTTCTATCCTGCCTCTTTTCCGCTATTAATGTTAGCATTTTTTGTTAAACATTTTTTAAAATAAGACTTTTAGTAAATGCATGATATTCCATCTTATGGATGTATTGTCATTTATTCTCTTATTACTGGATTTTTAAAATTCCCAGATGTTTTACTTTTATCAATAATGATGCATTGAACGGCTCTCTAAGTAAATCTTTGCATTAATTCAGAAACTATTGTTTGAAAACTAGTTACTGCTCTGAGTGTTAGAGATGCATCAGTGACCAAAAAGTCCCAAATCCCGGCCCTGAAGGGGAGGAGGAGAAAGAGATTCTAACAATATAAGTGACATATGTCAGATAGTGACAAGTGCTCCAG